GGGCCTCTTGGAGGCCTCCTCGGAGCCTCTTGGTGCGGGAGGGGTGGTACTCGAGTTCGGAACCCCCTCGGAGGCCACGATCCTTGTGAGGGGTGTCAAAAAACGCATCCGCCGGAAACTCGCACCCCCCCCCCCACCCCCACCCCCCTTCCCCGGCAGAGCCACCCCGGCAACCCCCCCAGAGGCTGAGGCTCAGCCTCGAGGCTGTAGCTGAGACTCCTTGAAACTCACACGCCGGATCGGCGGATATGTTCTCGTGATGTTGACTACGCCGAGGGCTCCGCGGTGCGAGAAGTGAGAGCTTGAACGTTTTCGGAATGATGTTCCTCTTGAGAGCGTCGGCATGCGAAGCGCGGCAAGTTTGTCTTAAACGCACTCTAATTGTTTAGTCTTGAGGGCGGTCTGCCCCAGACAAGATCTACCAGCGATTAATACTGCTTCTCCCCCCCCCATACACCCACGCGTGAAAGTTGCAGTCGTTCCGTTTATCGGGAAGCCTCTTCTCCTCGCCTTGTTCCAGCGTCATGTGGTTGGTTCCAAGACATTTGGCCCATTCTGTGCCTGGGGGTCGTACGCGCAGAGCTCTCTCGAAAGTTGGCCCCGGCTTCTGGGGCTAGTGGCCACTGGTACCTTGACCCGAACTTTGGCTGTACCTTGTAGCTGCCCCGCGGCCTGCCAGAAGCAATCCCCCGAGCGGCCTCGTGCGCGCCACGTGCGTCACTGACAAATCACGGTTCGCCTTGCGGCAGTGTCTCAATTTCTTTGCGCACGGCTTACTTTGAGGGTGGCCACCAAGCAGCCACACCACAGTTGCCTCGTAGTTACCTCGCGCTTGACTCGTAGCCGCCCGCGGGCTGTGCCTCCACGGTTGCACGGGCATGGCTGCCAACGCACAGAAGAAGAGGTCATTTTCCCAGCCGTTGCGCCCCCGAAGTTTCTCGAAATTGCGTTCCTCAATTTCCCACTGCGCAGGCATGGGCTGCGCCTCGCAGCCATGTCGCAGGCAGTGGGTGGGTGAGCGCGTGAATGAGTGAGTGATCGAGGGGAGCAAGAGAGAGAGAGAGTGAGAGAGAGAGGGCGAGAGAGAGAGAGAGATAGAGGGAGGGAGAGAGGGAGGGAGAGGGGTAGAGCAAGAGAGAGGGATAGAGAGAGAGAGAGGAATAGAAAGAGAGAGGGAGAGGGAGAGGGAGATATTGACTCGTATTACTTATGTGTACATATCTACAGACGTCCGGAGGTTGATAGACCTCCTACCCTGACACGTCGATTGGTGAATTGGCCGTTTTCGGTTCGCGAGAGGGCGTCACGGCCGTTATGTTTGCGGGTGCACGTCCGTCGGTTGAGGTCCTAGGCCGTTTTCATTAAAGGTTGGTTTACTAAAGGGAGGTTTGTCCACCGCCGAACATACAGTATGTACATGCGTACAAGACTGCACTGGCGCTTCGCGCCATGCACCTTGGTCTATCAAGTCTCGCAGACAGGCGGAATGATGGAGAGAAGAAGAGTCGTTCCTTGTTCTCGTTTTTATTCATCGCTATCCTGATGTTCCTCCTTCTTCCTTTCCTGATACTTCCGATTCCCTTTCCCCGTGTTCGCCCTTCTCTGTGAACCCCTCCCCAACGTCTTTCCCAATGTGTGTTGCGGAGGTTCTTCCTTGGAGGGTCTCTTGGGGGTCTCTCGAAGGCTTCTTGGAGGCTTTTTCTTGGGCTTCTTGGAGACCTCGTGGGAGCCCTTTGGGGGCCGCTGGGTGCTCCTTGAGGGTGTCTTGCTGCCTACCACGGTTTCTACCCAATGACGGGGTTTGGACTTGGAGCGTTTCTGGGGGCGGTTTGGCGGTTGGAGCCGTGTTGGGCCTTGGTAGACCAAAGCACCGAGTGTAAAAAGCAAAAACCACCAGACGTGTTTGTTGTGTGCGTGGGTGTGTATTGTGTGTGCTGTATGTGTTGTGTGTGTCGTGTGTGTTGTGTGTATATAGTGTGTGGTGTGTGTTGTGTGTGTTGTGTGTTGTGTGTGTTGTGTATGTGTGTTGTGTGTGTTGTGTTGTGTGTGGTGTGTGTGGTGTGTGTGTGTGTGTTGTGTGTGTGCGTGCGTGTGCGTGTGTGTATGTGTTGTGTGTTTTGTGTGTTGTGTGTGTGTTGTGTGTGTCTGTGTGTGTGTGTGTGTGTGTGTGGGGCCTCTTGGGGACGTTCCCTGGGTCATCTGAAGCCATCTGAGGGGTGCCCCGCAGCCTGGGGCTTTCGCAAGGCCATCTCGTCGCCCGCTCGACCGCCGAGGGCCTACTAGCTAGGTTCGGCAGGGGCTTCCAGGAAGCCTGGAAGGCCTGAGGCTTCCAGTCGGTCCATGTTGAGGACTGCCCTGAATGCCAAGCCTCAGAGCGATTTCGGACACCAACGCGTGGGCTTCCAAACTGGGGACTTGATCATCCAGACACGGCCCCTCTGGCGCGCTATACGCCTGGTCCCATGGCAACTGCAAGTTGAGCGGGCGCGAAGCGCGCGCGGTGGTTCTGGCCAGTAGGAGTACAGAGAGGGGGGAGAGGGGAGGAGAAAGGGAGAGAGAGGGGGAGAAGGAGAGGGAGAGGGAGGGGTAGAGGGAGGGAGAGGGAGGGGGAGAGGGGAAGAGAAAGAGAGAACGGGAGAGAACACATTATCCCAGAGCGACCCTACCTAGGAGTTGGAGCCCCGAGGAGAGCATCATTAATAGTAACGGTAAACGCCGTCCTCCTCCTCCTCCTCCTCCTTTGCTACGCTATGCTATGCTATGCTATGCTGCGCTGTGCTATGCTGTGCTGTGCTGTGCTGCGCTATGATATGCTATGCTATGTTAAGCTATGCTATGTTATGCTGCGCTATGCTATGATATGCTGGGCTATGATATGATATGATATGATGCGTTATGCTATGCTATGCTGTGCTCTGCTATGCTAAAGCTAAGCTGAAGATAAGCTAAGCTAATATAAACCTGAGCTAAGATGAAGCTAAGCTAAACTAAGATGAAATAAGCTAAGCTAAGATGAGGTAAGCAACGCTAAGCTAAGGGGACGTAACTGGGGGAACCGCGGGGCGGATACTGGGGGAACCGCCCGGGGCGCTTTCCACTGCCCGGCCCCTTTAAGCCCAGAGAGTAAGAACCCTTCTAGGCAGAGCCTAGGTAGGGAATACACATTGGTTGAGCAGCAGCACGCGACATGCAGGCAAGGACCCTCGAGCCCGCACGGCCGATGGGCAGGAGAAGGGGACAGAGCTGGGACAGGGGGAAGAACAAAACCTCCTTCCTCTCCCACTCCCTCTTAGGAAGCAATCAGAGGAGGAGGAGGAGAGGAGGAGGAGGAGGAGGAGGAGGAGGAGGAGAGGAGGAGAGGAGTAGGAGAAGAAGAAGAGGAACAGCTGTCCAGGGGAGAGCCAGACCCAGAACGGGTGAAAGAGAGGAGCGAGCGACCGCGAGCACGAGAAAAGGGGACGAGGGAGGCACGTGAGCTTTCCCTGGGGCCAGCCAGAAAAGCATCGAGAGGACAAGCTAGAATAACCCCATGTCTCACCGAGGGAGGTGCTTGAACGACGGGCTTTCTGGACAGCTCGCTTGGAACATTTCCACTCAGCATGCATGCAAATGTGCGGGAATTGGGCTGCCTAGACTACTTTGCCACGGAGCCGAAGTTGTTCCACAAGCCGTTTGACCTGGATGACCTCTTGCAGGAGGCCTCGGGCCATTTGGGGTTGGCCTGCTTGGTTGTATGATCCTCCGTTGTTCCACCTGCGTGATTCTGCATGCCAGTGCACAGTTAGTTGTTGCCAGTCCTGTCCTTGTATCGTTCAAGCGGGTATTGTTGTGAACGTCGCGAGTTTAGCTGGTACAGGTCGTTAGCTGGTCTTGATCGTCGGATGCGATGACACGCTTCTTCGACGATTTAATCGCGCCCATCTTCATGCTTTTGATCTTGAAGAAAACGCTGCGACCGATTCGATTGACGAAGTTCTTGATTGACGTGTGGCAGGACTGCCATTCAGGTAGCGAGTTTGCGTTGCATCTGTCATGTGCGTTTGATGCTGATCCTTCTGCTGTCTACCTTAGATCCTCCAACGCATTCCGTCCAAAGCTCGAAGGTCTGCCAGAAGTTTTGCAGTGAAAGGTCTGTGGCGTTCGGAATGTTGACATGAATTTGCGCGGGTCTCCTGAACATGCGGCTGACTATTTTCATATAGATGGTACGTGTCAAGTACCAGCCAGATCTTTATATGAGTTGTTTGCAGGCTAACGCATTGTTAAATGTGTTTCGTTGTCGAAAGCCAGCCAATCATATCATTAAGATGTACGGTATGATTGAGCATGTCTTTCGGTTTTCCGTCAATTTTGCGAGGAGTCTTTATTCCTAGAATGTTAGGGATCCTTAGGGCGTCTTGGATTATTTCGGCTGTAGCGTTGTATTGCATGCTTTTGGAGTGACATTGGGAACTGCTCTGGAGGTCTTACAGGACCTCCTGGGACGTGTCCGCTCATCCTGGCCAGCGTTGGGACATTGTTGAGCTCTGATGCCTTATGCGACGACTTCATGTCTTCGTACGTGCAGCTTGGGCAATCCTTAGGGTAAGATCGGTGGCTCTGGGTGGCCTTCCCTTCTCGCAACCCGGGGGCCTCCCGAGGACTCCGCGGAGCCGTTTGGGTCCAGAAAGTTCACGCACAGGGTATGTTTCAGAATGGCACCCTGCAACGTGACCCTGAAAAGCGCTAGCTGTCTAGACATTACAGGGCGCCACGCGGCGCCAGAGCGCGAAGCCGGACGTGGAGCACCGCGCGACGGCGGCGGCGGCGGCGACGGCGAGGCGGCCACTACGACTCCGACGACAACGCCTGCGACAACGCCGACAGCGGTGAGGCGGCGACGGCGGCGGCATGACAGCCGGCGGCGGCGAGGCGGCGGGGGGCGCTGGTGGCGGCGGCGACCACGACGATGCCAGCGACGACTCCGACGGCGGCGGGGGGCGCCTGCAGCGACGTGCGAGGCCGCGCTCGGCTGCGAGGGCTGGGCGCAGCCTGCGCGGGAGGCGGACGGCGGCTGCAGCCTGGCGCAGTTGCTGAGCGCCAGCATCGAGGCGCCTCGCCGGCCGGCGCGCGTGCGCCGCCTGATGGCAGGGGGCGTCCCCGATCCCAGGCCCAGACCTCCGACGATGTGGTTTGTTTCGCCCTCGACCTGCGCCGTCCCCACCTTCCGCGCGGAAGGCGCCGCGGCAGCGCGGCAGGTGCAGGGTGAGGGTAAACCTGGGGTTGAGTTCTCGTTGGTTCTTGGAAGCTTTCTCGCCTCGGGAGTCCTTCCAGCAGCTGCGCCTCGCCGGGAGCGCTCTGGGGGTAATTACCAGAATCGTCCCGAACGACCGCCGGAAGCCCGAATTCTGGCTTGGAAAAATCAGGGTCTCCGACGAAATGATGTGTTCAAACCTGGCGTTTTTCCACGATTTCGGCCTCCGCGGCCCGTTCGCAGGCCTGGAACCATAAGAAAGAAAGCATTCCGGGACGGCAAGCTACTCCCGGGGAAGGGGTCGGGAGCGTTGGCGCCGCAACCACGAGAGGGGGGTGAGGCCCTGTGATCTGGGCGCTGCAATTTGGTCACGGCGGGGCGTTTTCGCCCTTGGGGCCATCACGGATCGACACGGCTGGCAAAATGCCGCAGATCAGCCATGCGCAGAGGGGGGGAGGGGGAAGGCTTCTTAGAAGCACCCTTGCTTTTGAGAATGCGCGGGCCTTATCTATTGATGCAGGGCTGACGCCCTGTAAGAAGCAGCCTCCTTCTAAGAAGCCTTCCCCCCCTCCCCCCCCCGTGACGGAGTGCGTGTATTCCTACCATATCCTGCGCTACCTCCCCCGCGTGCACCTCATCATCCTCTTCATCTCCTGAGGCCCACAGGCCGCTTGAGCCCCGCTTGGGCCCGAGACCCACGCCCGCCGCTGCCGTTTGGGGCTCTGGGGCCTACCAGGGCCCCTGACCATCTTACGGTCTGCCGCCCCGCGGGCGGCCGACAGCGATCGGGGCAGCTGCCCCCTGGCGCTGCGCGCTGGACAGAAAGGGCGAGGTGATTCACACCGCTGGCGCGGCTCCACCAGTGGTAGCGGGGCCTGCTGAGGCAGGCGATCCACAGACACGGACAAGGGCCTCGACGGTGCCGAGGTGATAGACGAGTGTTCGGCTGCGCCGGGCAGGACGACAGCAAGGTTGAGTACGACTGCGTCGAGCTCAGCATCAGCAGGGTTGAGTACGACGGCGTCGAGTTCAGCATCAGCATCGACCAGCAGCATTCTCAGCGGGAGTCATGGCTCATCGAGATGATTATCCATCGGGAAGTGCTGCGGAAAGGGTACAGGGACGACGTGGAGATCTGAGCCATGTGCACCAACCTCGAGGTGAGCTACTGCGTGTCGGCCAGGCTGGTCTCGCGACTCAGAAGGGGCTGCTCGGCGAGTCGGGCTGCGCACTCCTCGGGACCAGCTTCAGCTCTTCGCGGCGGTCGCGGAGACGCGCGACGCCGACGGCGAGATCCTAGAGGAGGGCCAGCCAGCGGGTTACTACATGTGAGGCATCAACAATGTGCTGGCGGCGCTCGAGGCAGCGCTCGGAGGGCACTATGCGGTCAGGCGTGGCGAAACGATGGGTGACTTCTCAAGGGCACCCGCTACAACCGCAGGGCTGGCGAACGCATGACGGACTATGTGGTTCGCTTCGAGGAGCGGCTTGAGGATGATGGCGTGAGGTTCGCCGACCATGACGACATCCTGGGATGGTGGTTCTTGGAGAAGTTTTGCCTCGCCCCCGAGCGCCGGGAGAGAGTGGTCTCGCAGTTGCCAGACGACAAGTACGCGTATCAGGACACCAAGACGACTGTGACCCTAATATTTCCCGACCTGCATGCGACAGAAGCGAGACGGTCACTGCCTCAGCGGCAGCAGCAGCAGCAGAAACATCATCGAGGACATCGACGGTTTGTACCAGGAGCTGGCTCTGGCGTGAAGGGCGCGAACGCCACGGAGCGCGAGGAGCCCCACGAGTACGACGACAACGAGCTCGACGAGGAGACGGGCGAGCTCGACGAGGCCGACGAGGACGGCTACGGGGTCAATGACGTGGAGGTCTCAGAGATCCAGGGGTTCGTCCGCCAGGAGCTCGATGCCCTCGCGACGGAGTTGGAAGACGCCGAGGTGGATTTCTCGGCCGAGCAGACTCAGGCCCTCGAGGAGGCGGCGCTGCAGGTGCCCCAGTTGCCCGAGGTTCTCGAGGTGATCAGGGACGCGCGCGGCAGGATTCAAGGTCGAGATGGAGGTGGCAAGGCCGAGGGCAAGTCACGTGGCCGCGCTGCTGCACGAGGGGCCTCCGGACATAGCCGCGGTCCGCGCGGCGGCGACGGCGAGGGTCGCGAGGTGGCCGAGCAGCTGAAGCAGCGCAAGTGAATGTCGACATGCAAGGCGAGTGGGCTCCAGGGCCATTGGGCGGGCGATCTCGAGTGCAAGGCGCCGCGGGCTACGCTGGTCACGAACGCGGGCGACGACTCGGACTCGGGCCATGACGCCCTGGCCGCGGAGCGGGAAGGACAAGGAGTGGCTCGACGTGCTGGTGCGCAGAGCCAAGGACCGCCTCGACGGAGTGGTCGATGTGGCGCGCGTTTCCGCGATGGCAGACGTCTGGCAGGAGGCCTACCACGAGGGTGTGCAGGAGATCGGGGCCGCCCATCTGGTTGAGAAGGAGCAGATCACGTTCAGGTTCGGCGACGGCGGCGCCCCCGTGTCCTGCGAGGCCTTCCGGCCCCCAGCCGCGGTTGCAGGCGTGCCGGCCTTGACCCCTGCTGGGCCGTGACTTCCTGGAGGCGATCGGAGCAGGCATCGACGTGGCGCGCAGGATGCTCGCTGTGGGCCCAGGCCCCCGACCGTTGATGGAGTCCGAGAATCACCACTTCGCGCTGGAGCTGAATCCCGAGAGGAGGTACCAGGTCCCCTCCGAGGCGCGCCCTGGCAGGGAGGAGCCCCCCGCCAGGCTGGGCCATCGTGCCCGGCCGTCGCCCCCCCTGCGGGGTGGCGCTGGCGCCCTGGCCCCGATAGTCTTCGCCATCGCGGCCGCCGCGTGCTGCGCCGAGGCTGGCGAGAACAGGCAGGGGAGCTCGGATATCAGCAGGCTACCCGGGACTAGCGCCAAGGCCAGCGCCATGGGGCACGCCGAGCCGGATGGCGACCCTGCGGACGCGAACGACACGCGGGCCATGGCGCTGTCGACTCCCCCGGCTGCGGTCACCCCTGCGAGGTATCACCTACATGGAGCGCGCTCTGGGCGTTGCAAGGTCTCCGACTTGTTCGAGTGCCAAGCGCGCGACACGGGCGCGCGCGCGTCGCGCGCGCGCGGGGGCTGCAGCGCGCTAGGTTCCACCGCGGAGTCGCCCTCGAGACGCCCGCCGTCGGGGACGGCGCCGGGCTCGTGGCCCGGCGTCAGGCGCGGGGGCGACTGCGCAGCGGAGCGGCAGCTCAACGCAAGGCAGGAGCACGGCGAGCCAGCGCATTGCACGAGCATGGAGCGAAGCCCCCCTTCGCGAGGAATATACTGGACGCGCAGATAGACGACGCCGTGGTATCTACGGCCTCGAGGGGCACGAGAAGTACCAGACCAAGAAAGCCAGGCACGATGGTCGAGCGTTGCTGCGAGATGGACAGCCTCACGGCTCAGACCTGGGGCCGATTGCAGGTCATGGGGAAGCCAGTGCGTAGCCGTGAGGTGTGTCACAGAATGCCCGCTGTCCCCTGGCCGCGCGGCGGTTTGGCGCTCGTCCGAGGGGGTGGCCGTTTGGGCGACCCCGCGTGTCTGACTCCTGCCCAGTTGGGGGGCCCCGCTGCAGGCGAGCAGGGAAGTGTGCGCAAACCTTCGGGCGGGAACTTGACGGGCGCCGGGCGGGCGGTGGAGGCGGGGTCGATAGGCGGGGTGCCGAACGTTCCCTGCGGGGGGTGCTTCTGACACCGCCCCCCGCTTCAACGCGGCGCAGACTGGGCGTCGGACGGGGGAGGGGGGCCGCGGCGGAGGAAAAGGGGCCCGCGCGGGGCCGGCGGAGGAGGGGCCGACGCACGGCGCCTGATTCTACGCCCGCTGGAGAACGACGTTCAGTCCAAGGCCGACGAGCTCGACGAGAGTATCTCGATCGAGACCAGCGACCACCCCCAATTTCCTGAACGGCGTGACAGAGGTCAAGTTCGCGGAGGCGAAGCGGAAGAACAAGCTCGACGAGCTGGCGGTGGACGACTTGGCCGCCCTGTCCTTCCCGGCAGCGCTCAAGCAGGCGGGGGGGCGCCTGGGGCTTTGTGGACCCCCAGTGGCCCATCAGCTTCGGCACGCTGGGTCCAGCTACGACCTGGCCCAGCGGATCCGCAGGCAGCCAGGTGTCAAGACCCGTAGCCGCTGGTCAGCGGGTTCCTCGGTCCGCCGCTACGCGAAGCAGAACCGCGTCAACGAGCACATCGCTGCGCTGCAGCCCAAGGTCCAGGCGCACTGCGACAGCGCCTGGAACAATATCGGCGATGTCCTGTTGAAGCGCTCCGGTTCCTCAGGACCGCTGCGAGCGCTGGGCAGCGTCGTTTTTTCTTAGAGTTGTCGTGGAGATTTTCCTCTGCTCAGGCAGACTGTCCTCGGCTATGCGCAGAAGAGGATATGATTCGATTGAGATTGATGCGATTGATGGATCGCAGAGTGATGTCACGAATCCTTGTTTTACCAAGCTGTTATTTCAACTCCGCAACTCGGGAGTGATCTGGGCCGTTTATCTTGGCGCGCCATGCTGCAGTTTCTCCGGGGCTTGAGGCAGCGGCGATGGCCCTGAAGCCCTTCGTAGCTCAGATCGCCTGCGTGGGCTTGACAAACCTGTGTCTCTCATGTTGACAGTGACATTGTTCTGACGGGTCGCCAGATTGCCGATTCCTCAGCTCGCGTCTTTGAACGCTGTCGCCTGCGACGGACCCCATGCTCGTTCGAGACCCCGCATACATCTATCCTTTGGCACCGTCCTGAGTGCACGAAGTTGGCTGCGCGCAAAGATGCGCAGACAGATTGCGCAGACCTCTTGGATGGCAAGCCGCGGCGGAAGAGAACGCGACTAATGACCACTCACATCGTTTTACATCGCGTGGTCAGACGGCGCACGGTATGCAAGCGATTGCGCCGCCGCGCCCGCCGAGCCCATCAGGCCCTGGAAGGAGAGAACGAGAACCTGATCTTCTGGACAAGCGGCGTGGACCCCTATCCCTCGAGATTGCGCCCCCGGACGTCGGTTGCAGCGGGTGCCAGTGATGCTTCGCTGTTTTGCAAGAGTGCGTCAAATGTGCCGGCGTGAACCACCCACCCAATCCCAGAGCACGAGGTTGCAAGCTGATTTTGAATGTTTGCTGGTTCGCCTGTCCCGTTCGTTCGAGGAGAGGCTGAAGGCCTTCCGCATGCGACCAGGCGCGAAACGTTCTGATTCGAGCTACCGTGGAAAAAGGGCCTTAGGAGAGCTATTGCCAGGGGCGCTTTGTCTTCTGAGGCTGACGCCACCCCGCGATAGTCCGGGGGCCTGCGGAGTTCCAAACCACGAGGAGATGAATGTAGTGGGTCGCGGGTTCAGGGGGGGCGCCCGTCGCCAGCCGCGGTCTGGCGGGGTTCCCTTGGGGGGGGTGCGCGGGGCATTTAATTTTGCCAGTTGCGCGTTTTCCGCATGCCCTGCGCGCTCCGGCGGGCCTCCCCTTGAGAGGTGTGAGGGGCGCTAAACTTTGCGAGTGGTGCGGTATCCGAGTGCATTGCGCGCTCTGGCGGCGCCCCCCTGCAAGGCGGGCGGGGCGCGACACGTCACGATCAGCATGGTATCCGGATACCCTGCGCGCCATGACGGGGCCTACCTGGAGGGGCGGGCGGGGCGCGACACATTATAATTAACGTAATATTCGGAGGCCCCGCGCGTTTTGGCGGGCCCCCCCGGGCCCCTGGAGGGGCAAGAGGGGAACCGCGCGTGGCAAATAGCATGGCGCCGGGATAACCTGCGCGTTCTGGCGGGGCCCCCTTCTCGAGAGGCGCGAAACGTTGTAATTCATCTGGTATCCGAATGCGCTGCGCACTCTGGCGGGGCCCCCCTGAAGGTGCGCGAGGGGCGCGAAGCGTTGTGAACAACGCGGTGTCCGAATGCCCTGCGCACTCTGGCGGGGCCAACCATGTGGAAAGGTGAAAATACGTTACTTTACGACGATGACGACAACGGACACACGGAATTATAGCTGGCTTAATTTGCTCATTTCTCTATTTCTCTTTGTCTCTCTCTCTCTCTCTCTTTCTCTCTCTCTCTCTCTCTCTTTCTTTTTTCCTCTCTCTCTCTCTCTCTCTCTCTCTCTTTCTCGCTATCTTTATATATGTTTTTTTTCTCTCTCTCTCTCTCTCTCTATATATATATATATATCAGCTTATATTATCTCTCTCTCTTCTCTCTCTCTCTCTCTCTCTCTCTCTCTTTATATTTCTCTTTTTTTTGTTTCTCTCTCTCTCTCTGTATCAGTATGTCTCTCACTCTCTCCTTTCTCTCTCTCTGTTTCTCTCTTTTTCTCTCTCTCTCTCTCTCTCTTTCTCTCTCTCTCTCTCTTTATGTATATTTCTCTTCTCTCTCTCTCTCTTTGTCTCTGTCTCTCTATGTATTTATATTTCTCTCACTCTCTCTCTCTCTCTGTCTCTCTCTCTCTCTCTCTCTCTCTCTCTCTCTTTCTCACATCCCACCTGCATCTAAAACTTGAAGGACCAGTTTGTACGGCGTGAAGCGCCAGTGCAGTCCTATAACACATATGTATTCGATTCGTGGATCAATGATAAGGGGGTTCGGTGACCACGCGTTCGAACTGTGCAATCGAGGTTCGCCGGTCGCAGCCCACTTCGGTGCGAGAGCCCATAATTTTTTCGTTCCATGTATATTGCAAAGCGTTTTTTCCCTTCGCCCGATTGGTTTCCACGCTGCTTTCTCACTTGCCAGGGCGTGGGCCACAAACGCGTTGGTGATTGTGGTGTATATGGCGTGCAGTTATCATCCTCCGTTGTTTTGCCGCGTGCGGCAAACGCGCAGCGTGGCATGTGGATGTAACACCAAAGACCAAGGGAGACTTAGGCGGATGCGCCTCCATAGCGGTCTCCAGACGATCCTCCCCACCAGTTCGTTGGAGGTAGCCAGAGGGGTTCTTCCGCTGGGCGAGGTTGACCAACAACGTTCAGCCGTGCCCTTCTTTCAGAGACCCGCTCGGATTTCTCGGTTCGGCGTTGAACCCAGGGAGGTCCAGCGCCGATCCAAGAAATCCGCGCGGACCTCCGACAGTCTATGTGTATGTCGCGTTTTGCTCCCCTAAACAACTCGACCCTCGTGATCGAATGGGGGAGGAGAAGGGAGAGAGAAAGGGCATGAGAAGGAGGGGGAGGATGATGAAGATCGAAGTGGGCGTGGGGGGAGGGGGAGAACGCGGAGGAGAAGAGCGGGGGAGAGAGGTACGAGGAGAGAAGGCGAGGGATAATGCGGGGGAGAGAGGTCCAAACAAAGCGGGAGAAGAGCGGCGAGGGGAGAAGGAGGAGAAGGATGGAGAGCAACCAAGCTAGATACGTTCGCGTCATGCATGACGTCCTACCCCTCCCCCCATCCCTTACCATGGCGTAGATCTCCTCTCTCTCTCTCTCTCTCTCTCTCTTCGCACGCACATTCGGATGTCGTAGCATGGCATAGCATTACATGGCACAGCATGGTGTTGAAGATCACCGCGTAGCATGATACAGCATGGCGTGGCGACGCCCCAATGTGGGGGGGCTTCTGCTGCCCAAAACATCATTGGATCGGAACCGAATGTGTAATCACTTCCGATGGCTTTTTCGGGGAGGCATTTTTTAGATTCTGTGGCCTATTTGGAAGGACGGAAAACCATGCCGTGGCATGGCGCTGGAAATAATCTGCAGCGGGAGCACGATTCGAAACTAGCGGAAGCGTGCAAATGAGGCCAACGCTGCAGCGGGAGCACGATTCGGAACGAGCGGAAGCGCGGAAATGAGGCCAACGCTGCAGCGGGAGCATGATTCGGAACGAGCGGAAGCCCAAAAAAGAGGCCAGCGCCTCAGTGGGAGCATAATTGTTCTCTAAAACAGTGCCTGAGAATCCGGTGTAAAAAAACAGTACGCGGACTGGCGGCGAGTATCTTCCGGACGTCATCATGGGAGAGGGGAGACTAGTATTCAGCTTGAGTAACTTTAAACGGAGGAGTAGGGAGGGAGGGAGGGAGAACAGAGGGAGGGCGGCGTTCTTCCCGCCGCCGATGCCCCTTCCTGGCGGCAGGCCCCAGCACCGCAGAGGCCGGCGCAGGGCGCGCCCACGCGGGGCACCTTGAGACCCAACGACCGGACGCCGTCGCCCGCGCGGGACTGCAGGCCGGGGCGGGGCATCTTCAGCGCGCCGTGGGCGGGACGCACACCCAGAGATGTTCCCATCGTGACGGAAATCACGACGGGAGGTTTCTGTCACCGTTTTCGGCCCGGCCTCCTGAGGCCTTCGCCATGCCCCAGGACCGCCAAAAACCATCGGAGCTGAAAAGTTGGCCCTGGGGAGTGGGTCGGGACCAGCGGGGACTCCATCTTAACAAGAATCTGGACATCGCATGTGGGGGCACATGGGTCTTCGAGCGTTTTCGTCGGTTCTCGGCGGCTTTCTAGAATCGGGGGGCTTTCCAGCAGTCTTGGGGTGCCGCAATCGTCCCGAACGACCGCTGGAGAGCCGAGTTTGGGTCCGAAAGCCAGGGGCAACGCTAGGGGTGGGTCGTTGGCGCCGGAATCCAGGTCGCGAGGGCGTGGATACGGATATGCTCGCTGCTCGTGAGCGTGGAGCGAGGGAGGATCGAAGCGAGTGTTGTGTGTTCCATGCTCGGGGCCATGCCGTGCGAGGAGGCGCCGCCTCTGAGTGCTGTGGCGGGGGATCTGGACACGTGGTGAGCATCCTCTGCCACGCGCTTGCCTGCGCTGCGCGCGCACGCTGAGCAAAAATTCGTGAGGCCCACGTCTGTGGATGGTGTTGCCGCCCTTAAAAAAAGCAGCAACAGCAAACCCACAGGCCAGTCGAGACAGCGGCGGCCCTACCTGGCGTGTTTCGTCCTCTCTGGGCCCCCTGGAGGCTGCCCGTCGCCGCGGCTGGGTCCGCGTTGCAAAACGTTTCAAGAAGAGGGGCAGGGGGAGGGCGGGATCTAGGGAGGGTTCGGCTGCTTCTCTTTTTGTTCCACTTCTCCTTCCTCTTTTTTTTTTGTTCCTTCTGGATGGCGCTGGCGGGGTGTAGGAAGGGGCGGGCTTCTTCTTTGGGGGGCGCTTTCGGCGGCGAGACTACAAGGAGAGGGGCATGGGAGGGAGGAGGAAAGGACCAGGGGAGGGGGCCAGGGGCGGGAGAATGCAGAGGAATCCTCCTCACACGGTCGCGCGCGCACACACACACATTCACATATTCTCACATTCACACACTCACACACTCACGCACATTCACACATTTACATATTCACACATTCACACATTCGCACACTCACACACTCACACACTCACGCACTCGCACACTCGCACACTCACGCACTCGCACACTCACACACTCACACATTCACATACTCACACATTCACACACTCGCACTCGCACACTCACACACTCACACTCTCACACACTCACACATTCACAGATTCTCACATTCACACACTCACACACTCACACACTCGCACACTCACGCACTCACACACTCACACACTCACACACACACACACACTCTCACACACACTCACACACACACTCGCACACTCACACACACACACTCACACACAGTCACACACAGTCACACACAGTCACACACAGTCACACACTCACACACGCATGCACTCACACTCACACACACACTCACACACTCATACACTCACGCACAACGCACACAACACACACAACACACAACACACAACACACAACACACACAACAGACAACACACACACAAAACACAACACACAGCACACACACATGCAACACACAACACAGCACAACACACACACGCAACACACAACACAGACACAGCGTACACATCACACACAACACACAACACACAACACACAACACACAACATATACACAACACACACCACATACACAATACACACAACACATTACACACAACACACACAACACACAACGCACACACAACACACAACACACAACACACAATACACAACGCACACAACACACAACACACACCAGACAGAGAACACACACACACACACGCACACATACAACACACACACACAACACACACAGCACATACACAACACACACAACACAACACACACAACACACACTACACACATCACATACACAACACACGCACAACACACAACACACAACACACACACACACCAGACATAACACACAACACACAACACACAACACACACAACACACACCAGACAGAGACCACACACAACACGCAACACGCACAACACACAACACAACACACACACACAACACACACAACACACAACACAACACAGCGCACACAACACACACAACACACAAAAGACATACACACAGCACACAACACACAACACACACACAACACACCATACGCACACGCACACGCAGCGCACACGCACACGTACACGCACACGCACACGCACCCGCACACGCACCCGCACCCGCACCCGCACGCGCACCTGCACCCGCACGCGCACACACATACACACATACGCACGCACGCACGCACGCACGCACGCACGCACGCACACACACACACACACACACACACACGCACGCACGCACGCACGCACGCACGCACGCACGCACGCACACACACACACACACACACACACACACACACACACGCACACGCACACGCACACGCACACGCACACGCACACGCACACGCACACGCACACGCACACGCACACGCACACGCACACGCACACGCACACGCACACGCACACGTACACGCGCACGCGCACGCGCACGCGCACACGCACACGCACACGCACACACACACACACACACACACGTGTGTGTGTGCGTGTGTGTGTTTGTGTGTGTTTGTGGCTTTGCTGGTCAGCCACCTGCGCCGTCAGAGCTCTCACAAGGAACCCGACGAAAGGGACCAGTACCGCAGCAAGCATGACCCCCAGGCGACACCGTAGGGACGAGACCCCGCGTGGTACAGCCATGAGATCTTGCTCGGCTATCTGCGTTCAATTGGGATCACTTCGCTTCAGCACCCGCTGTTGCGCGGGTACCAGGCAACAGCCGCTAGGAGGAAGCTAACCCTCTCGGATGCCGGCCGCGGCGCCTCCCCGCAGACGGGGCCTGGCCGCCCCCATCCATCGGACTCCAAAGAAGAGCGCGGGAACAGCCCAGCAACCTCGCCCCATGCCCCACACAGCCTGGGCTGCCGCCCCCCCCGGCACCCCCAAGGTCCAGGCCTGACCGGCTCGACGGAAGCGTGGCCCCCTTTCCAACGAGGGCGAGGCCAGCGGCAACTTTCGCCGACGAGGGGGGCGAGTGCCCAGCAGGGCCGCCGAACGACCCCCCAGAGGCGGAACGCGACCAAGGCGATAGCGGCTCCAGCCCCCCTGGCGCCCCGCGGACGCTCCAGTGAGGCCTGCGACTGGAGCCATCAGGAGCGACCTCCCCCTGGCAGCCCAGCAAGCAGCCGCGGCGAGAGGCGCCGTAGCCCTAGCAGCTCCTCTCAACCTTCCGCTCATATGTGCGCCCCTCTCCCAGCCCTGACCGCGCACAAGCGTCGCGCACGGAGCAATCCGGCGGCGACGCCCAGCTAACCCCCGGAGAAGATTTGGTGCGCAAGACCCCCCGAACCGATGAGCAACGCAGCCCGGGTGCATCCCGGAGGTGGCGCGGATACGACGCCGCGGAACGAACACCGCCCTGGAGGCAGGATCCAGCGCCTTGCCAACCGCTCTCCGCCCCGAGGCCACCGGCCCAGCACGACGCTTCTGATCGGCTTTGCTACAAGCCGCGGCATAGGGTGGTGTGGCACTCCACCTGGAACTGCAACACCAACTCGAGGGAGGACTGGTCGGAGGTTGTCAATCGCCTCAAAAAGAATGTGGCCCCATGCTGACGATCGGCTGGAACGCCGTCTGTGATCTGGCGGACGGGCCACACTCCTCCAAGGACCCCAAGCGGCACCATCCCGAATTCTGTCAGTGCTTCGTGCACGAGCTCAGCCAGGCCAGTTACGATGTCCGCACCCTTTGCAGGCGCAAAGGCATCCGAGTCGACTGGGACGCCGAGTGGTATCGGAAATTTAACAAGAGGAGGCAAAGCGCTGAGCTCGGCAAAGGCAAAGGGAAGGGGCCCCCGCCGCAGGGGAAAGGCAAGCGGCCAGCTGACACGTCCTGGCCCAGCAATGATCCCACACGCCAGCGCTGGTCAGCTCCGAGCAGCCCCCGCCGGTAGCTCCCCCATGACTGGCGCACACCGCGACCTGTTCTGAGTCCGGCGGTCTCGGTTTTTGGTAGTGGCCTGCCGGCCTACTGTCTCCCGCCTTTCGCTCTCGCTGCCTCCTGTCGCTACACTTCACCTATTCGGTGCCCCCTCCGAAGGCCTCCAGCTTTGGTCCCACGGCCATCGCCTCCGCTCCCCCTCTCACCGCGCCCCCTCTTCACGTCCTTCTCGTGCCACTGCGAGGGCCTTCGCGTCGCTTTGGCGCTTCCCCCGCGTCCTCTTTGGCGCTGCCGGTGCCGCCGCGCTTCCTGGGCGGGGCCCCCGCGCGCCCCAGTGGGCTGGAGTTGCCGCCCGCCGCTGGCCTCGCGCCCTCTCCCGTTACGCTCCCAGTGTGCCCTGCTCTGCCGCTGCATCCCCCCGCTCCCGCTGGGGGATCGCCGGCCTTGTGCAGGTTTTGCCCAGGCCCTGCCTGTGGCACCCTTCGCTGCTTTGCCGCGCCTGGGCCAGCCGGGCGCCCCCTGCGGCCGTTGGCCCAGGCCCCCGCTCTCCCGGCCTGGCTTTCAGGCCGGTCCCTGCCCCCCCCACAGGCTACTGGTGGGCGGGCTGCTGCCACGCTTCTGCGGCGCCTTGCCGCTCTTTGCTCCGTGCCTCGCAGGCCCTCTGGTCTCGGCACCCGCCCTCTCCTCGCTGGCGCTCCTCGCCCCACGCCGCTCCCCCGATTGGCGTGGCTCGCCTTTTGTCCTCGCTTCCGCGCGCGCGCCTTTCCGTCGCCTGCCGCGCCCTGCGCCCCGCGCCTTACTCGTATGGCGCTCCGCCCCGTTTGCCTCTCCCGCGCCTTGCTGGCCTCTGGGCCTCGTCGCTTCGGCCCCTTCGCGGGTCCGGCTGCGGTTTCCTGCTCCCCCGGTGGCGTGGTCACTGCCTCGCCGCTCCCGCCCGCCCGTCGGCTGCCCGCCGCCTCTCTTCCCGGC